ATGTCCTCAAGTCCATTCTCTAGTAAGTCTGCGTCTTTATTCCCGTCCTGCCCCTAGGTTCATCATGACGATTTTTTTTTTTTTAGATTCCGTATATATGTGTTAGCATATGGTATTTGTTTTTCTCTTTCTGACTTACTTCACTCTGGATGACAGACTCTAGGTCCATCCACCTCACTACAAATAACTCAGTTTCGTTTCCTTTTATGGCTGAGTAATATTCCATTGTATATATGTGCCACATCTTCTTTATCTATTCATCTGTCGATGGATGCTTAGGTTGCTTCCGTGTCCTGGCTGTTGTAAATAGAGCTGCAATGAACATTGTGGTACATGACTCCTTTTGAATTATGGTTTTTACTTGAGTGGTTTTAATAAACCAAAGCAAATCAAGTTCATGTCCCCTCAAGCCTTTTACAAATCCCTGACCCTTTTCAAATATGCTTCTTCTCATCTTCTTGCATATTCTCTCACAACCAGATATACTTACAATAAGGCAAATGTACTTTCTTCCCCTTTTTTTCCTTACTGCCAGTCGATTTGCCTTCCCTCTTGCTTTTTAGGCGACTTTACACTTTTCTCTGAGGGCTTCGATGTCCTAAGGTGGTGAGATGGATGGTTTACACAGCGGAGAGTCAGATCTCATCCGCATGCGAGCTGAGTAAGCTAGCTTGCCCCTGTTCCGTGGGCGCCAGCAGGACTCGTGGGACCCCCGGGTCAGAGTCCAAGAGCCTCATAACTCACAACACAGCCAGCAGCCCCCCAGGTCCCGTCCACCCAGGAGGATGTGCAGACAGGAAATTTGCATCCCGGCTGAAGGACGCCCAGCTTGGGAAACTGACCCCTCGCTTTTGTAGTGAACGGAAGCCAGGCTGCTCTTGTCTGGAGGGAGATGTTACCTCATCCCTAGAAGGTGCTCGCTGTCAACAAAACCCTGAGAAATGGCTCCGGGAAAGACGCATCAGTGCTCTGCATACCCCACGTCCCCACAAGGACGTGCGGGCACGTGCAGGGCCGGGCGCGCACAAGAAAGCTGTGCTTTCCATCTGTAGTTGCTGACAATCCCCTCTAGGAAGTCAGAGGAAGTACAGGGAACTGCTGAGGGCTAACGTCTCCCTTGGAAGGTTGTGGATGGTTGTCCTTCTGTTTCTTAACCAGTGAGAACACGGGTTCTTCAGCGGCCCTTTTGGTTTGTATTATCTGCAGGTGTTTTTGTTCATAGTTTCTTGATCCTTTGGGAACAAAGGCCTTTTGGTCTTGAGTTTGTTTGGGGGCCAGATGTTTCATCTGGAGGGCCATGAGTTTGTTTTCATTTCTAGATTGTGTCCTTTTAAGACGCTTCCTTGAAAATGTTCAGCCACGTGTTTAAGATCATCCAGGCTGGCAGTTCCCCTACTGCAATTGCTTATTCCAGCTGTAAGTCCCCTGTTTCAGCCTGTTCCCTGGGGCGACTCCACATGAGAAACTCTGAAGAGCTCAGTTCTGGACATCGTCAAACACCTAATGGATGTGTCTGGGGGCTGCCCCAGACAGGGCTTCCCAGTGACCCTCCCGTGCTTGGTCACTGCCAAGAAGCCCATGGCCATTTTCAGCTGTTCCTTTCCCCCGATGGGCAGGGACACCTGCTCTGGAGGATCCAGCCCTGCCCTTGGATCGGGGCACAGGGAGTGGACCTTCTCACAGAGAGCCTGGACTGGTGTTGGAGGGAGAAGGGAGCAAACCGCTCCCTGGGCCCAGTGTACCCCTACGTCCAAACGGATGTGGACCCTGCCATCTCCCAGCCCCCTCCCACCAAGACGGTCTGGCCAGGGGACGGACGTGTGGTGGGAGTTCCTGTTGGTCCATGCTCAGGGGCCCTGCCGGCTCCAGAAAGCCATCCCTGGCCCCTCAAGCCCCTCTTGTGTCTTCCTTCTCCTCAGAGACGGGCAAGTGCCTTTCTCGGGCCAAGGCCTCACCCCAGGCCCAGCTGTCCTGCAGCAAGGTGGGCGGTGTGGAAAGCTGCTCCCTCTCTTGCCTGGCCCACACACTCTTCATGCCAGGTAACCCAAGGCTGTCCCCGGGACGGCATGGGGGGCGGGACTCCCTTCCCTGGGATCCAGCCTCTGCTCCCTGCTGTTCTCCAGGAGAGGAGCCCAACCTAGGAATGAGGACCCCCAGCCCTGGTCACTGAGTGACCCTGGGCAGCTGTCCGGTTCTGTGGGGGCCGCAGTGTCCTTCTCAAAAGTGCAGCGGCCCAGCCACTTAGCCTGTAGTCGTGTAGCAGAAACGGACTGACGTGAGGGTCAGTCCTGACCTTCATTGCATTCAGTGACCCCTCCGAGGCCCCCAGGATGTACGGGTGCTGGAAGGGGGGGCACCCAGGCCCACCTCAGCCCTGGCCTCTCTACAGACTCAGACGACAGCTACAGCCTGAGCTGCGGTGTCCCGGGCCTCCAAGGCAAGATGCTACAGAAACGCAACAGCACCGGCTCCAGCACTGGGCCCAGCTGCTCAGGTAGTCCCTGGCCTGTCCACACCACACGCACCTGCGGGACCCCTTGACTTTCCGTCCAGCACCAGGCCAGGGGGAGACAGAGGGGCATGGCCCAGGGAAGGCCTCCTGGCCTGGGGCCTGCCCAGTATGGCTCAGGGTGCCAGGGAGCTAAGAGCAGGGCCAGGACCCAGAAGCAAGCAGGCTGTAAGCTGAGTCCCAGCCCAAGGGCAGTGGACCACGGAAGGGCCCTTCCGGCTCAGGGCCACGGTTCCAGAGTGGTTTAGTGACCCTAAAGTGCTATGGGTCTATGGATCTCAGATTCCATTTCAGTGAAGGGAGTCACATCTGCTTCGGCCACAAGGTTCTAAAAACTCCCAGAGTCGGCACTCCCCTGGGAGACCACCCACCCGCCCCACCGCCCCCCAGGAGTACTGGAGGCACGCACACTCCCATGCACCTCGGGACACAGCCAGCTCCCCTGCCAGCAGGAGGTCGTGCTTCACAGCTTCTCCTGTTCAAGATGCTGGATTCAATGATATGCTTAAGACGTACAGGATGTAATCCTGAGCTTCTGTGACTATAGGACTCTTTGGTCCAAGGGTCTGCTCTGCTCTTGGAAGGAATCAGCGGCTCTGGCATCTGTATCATTGCAAATCCCCTTCCCTTCCTTGCTTCCCTCTCTCGTCCGTGCTGCCCCTTTTCCTGAAAGCACCAGCCGCATAAAGTAGCTCTGGTGATGGGGGAGAAGGCAGGAGCCTTGCCCTTCCTCCTCCACCGACCGCTGGCTGGATGGCCCCTGGGGCGAGCATGACCCCACCGTCCACCCTTGCACCTTTTTCAGGGAGAGAAACAAGGCGGCAGAGGTCCCCACCCACAGCTCCCAGTGGGTTTGTCCCCCTGGCAGCCCCCTCACACTCAGGCACTCCCTCCGCAGCCCCTGGCCCCACCACCTCCCTGCCCAAGGGAGAGGCCGCCACCTGGGGGGATTTGGACTTTCCCCAGGTGCCCCTGCCACCCTCGTCAGGCAGAAGGCCCGGTTCAAGATTCGCGATGCCAAGTGCCACCTGCGGCCCCGAAGCCGGGAGCCGGCAAAGGAGGCCCTGAGGCAGCTGCTGGGTGAGTGGGCCGCCCCGGCACCGCCCACACGGGGGCGGGGGAGGCCCCCAGGCCTGGGGCCGGGAGCCCAGCGTCCAGCGGGACTGGGTTTCCAGGGGTAGGGGCCTCTCTTCGTCCTCACCACCGTGGTCCCTTAGCCCCAGGAGCCGCGCCTGGTGGACCATAGACAGTGGTGGTGTCCGTGGGGAAGAAAGCCAGCATTTGAGTGGAAAAGCATCCCTGGGGTCCATCGGCCCGCCTCACTCAGGGTTAAATGAGCTCCCCCAGAGCAAGGGCTTTCTGCGCAGCGTGGTCGTGTCCAAACGGGAGGAACCCCGGGCTCACTCAGCGGCTCTCTCTAGAACGAGGGTGGCCCAGAAGGGTGTTCCAGCCTGGGGGAGAGCCTGGGGGAACGGACCAGGAGGAAAGCATGCCCGCTCTGTTTCCACAAAGATTCCCAAACACCTTAGGGTTCCTCCTCAAACCTGACAAAGCTCGGCACCCAGCAGGCCTAACCTGGGCCAAGCGGCCCTGAGCTGGAGCCGCATGGCTTTGCTAAGGAAGATGCACGAAGTGCCTCACGTGCAGCGGTGTGATGGCCTCGGGAGGGCTGGGTGCAGGGCCTGGCTCAGCCCCCCCAGCCCCTCTTGAGACCTGGCCTTCTCCAGCCTCAGTTTCCCCGTCTGCACATGAACTCTGAGGCAGGGCGGGACCCTGGCCACCAGCAGTCTGTGTGCAGGGTGAGGTAGGACCGTGCTCCCCGCCCCGTGCCACCTTTGCCACAGTGGCCCCTTCCTTGTCCAGAAAACTGCCACGTGACCTTTGTGACCCTCAAGTGTGACTCCTCCAAGAAGAGGCGCCGTGGCCGAAAGTCCCCATCCAAGGAGGTGACCCACATCACTGCAGAGTTCGAGGTTGAGACAAAGATGGAAGAGGCCTCAGGTGGGTGAGGAGTCCCCGCAGGAGGTGCTGAGGGCCTCAGCGAGGACAGAGGACTGGGAAGTCTGCTGGGCATGAAGCCAGGCTCCCACTCAAGCCACGGCTACCGGAGGTGGAGGCCAGCCAGGCAGGCGGGGCACCTGGCAGGGCTCAGGGCCGGGCCCTCAGAGCAGCTGCCCAGCCCAGGGTGGAAGAGGAGGCCCGGGGCCGCGAGAGGAGTGGGGCTGGGGCCCGCAGTGACAGCCACAGGCCTCTCCCCACTGCTCCACGCCCTCACCAGGGCCTGGAAGGGCCCATGCCTGCAGCCTCCCCAGGCTTGGACCGTTGGGCCAAGGACCTGTCTTTGCCAGGTTCCAGCAGGGGCCTTGTGGGATGCTGGCTCGTGTTTCACACCAGCAGTTCCCTCTGGGCTGTAAATGAGAACTGAGGTGAGCTGTGTCCTGGGCAGGGGACGTGTTGCAGTGGCAGAGGCCGGGCTTCTACTCAGATCTGCTGCGGGGCCCTTGAGCGGCTCATACCTCTTGGAGCCTCGGTCTCCTGGAGCCTCAGTCTCCTGCTGGCACACATTCGCAGCAAGGGCGCCTCGGCCCGGGGCCGCTGCGGGAAGGCTCTGAGCAGAGGCGCGGCCCAGCGCAGCGCCTGGCAGGGCAGCCTGGCGGAGAGACAGCTCACAGCGGCGGGGCGGGGGGTCGCGAGCTCGGGTCTCGCCCGCCCCTGCAGACACCTGCGAGGCCGAGTGCGTGCGGAGGCGAGTGGAACAGAGCCTGCAGGCCGCCGTCAAGACTCTGCGCAAGTCCGTCAGCCGGCAGCACTTCTCCGTCCAGGTCGCAGGCACTGAGTACGAGGTGGCCCAGCGGCCGGCCAAGGCCCTGGAGGGCCAGGGGACGTGTGGCACAGGCCAGGTGCTGCAGGACGGCAAATGCGGTGAGTCCCTGCCCTCAGCCACTCCAGTGTCGCCCTGCAGACTTTCTCTGTCCTTCCTTCCGTGTGGGCCCAGGTAAAGAGCCCACGGGAGACAGACACGTCAGGCCAGGACAGGGGGAGACAAGGAGGCCTGCCGGGGAGAAGTGCCGTAGCACTTAGACATGACGGCTGGCATTAAAGAGTGTTCCCCTGGCGCCGGGACCGAGTATACGTGTGACCCTGCCCGCAGTCCTGAGGAGGGGCGGGACAGCAAGGCCCCAGCCGAGGGGTGTGAGGGGCATGGGACCAGTCCGTGTGGCTCGAGAAGGCTTCCCAGCAGAGGCATGTGGGAGCTGAGGGCAGAGGGGGAGCAGAGTGAAGATGCCCGGGAGGCTGAGGGCCCCCCGGCGGGGCGGGGGTGGTGCTGCCAGGCGCAGGGAAGGCCAGGCCACCGCAGGGGCCGTGGGCAGGGCGGCCAGGTCCAGTGAACGAGGCTGGGGACCTGACCGGCCCCCATCCAGAGGGGGCGGGTTTAGAGACAGCCCCCGGTGGCTCAGAGGTGAACTTGACAGAGTCCTGGTTCTAGTGGGGTTGACGGTTACGTGGGAGAGAAGGCAGGCAGCCACCGGGTGAGCGTATCCACAGGCCAGATGAGGGCTTGCTGGCCCCAGTGCTGCCCTGGGCGCGCTGGGAAGTACTGGCCCGCGCTGAGCCGGCAGCAGCCTCATTCGCCCTCTGCCGTGGGAAGGCCAAGTGGGGAGCAGCAGAGCGGAGACCTAGCCAGAGATGGTAGAGCCTGGAACCAGGGGCAGCAGGAGAGGCGGACAAGGAAGAGAGAAATTGTGAGCACGCTTTGGGGAGGGAGGCGAGGGAGGAGGCTTCAAGGACAACTCCAAGGGTTCCGGCCACTTGGGCAGAGACGGCATTGTTTTCAGATCTGGGAGAAACTTGGGGGAGGGGGCTGGCGGAGGCGGGGGTCCCAGCTGTCCTTGTTAGTCTGAGACGCTCGTTGAGTCGTCCTGGTGAAGGCGCTGACTAGGTTGGAGCCACAGATCTGGAGCACAGAGTGTAGCCTGGGCCGGAGACACAGGCTGGGAGCCACTGGAGAGGAGGTGGGATTTAGGAGTGGCGGGAGGGGCGGTGGAGTGGACACAGCGCCATTTCCCCGCAAGGGGGGAGGGGGAGGGACTCGAGGATGTCATTCTTTTATTTTCAACCACTTATTTTGAAACCGTTTCAAACTTTCAGAAACACTGCCAGACAGAACAAAGAACTTCCGTATTTTCTTCATGCAGATCCCCCCACTGCGATGTCTTACAGCATTTGCGCCGTCATGCTTTTCCGTGCGTGTGGCGCGCTTGTGTGCCTTTACGTCACCTGCTAAATTCCACCAACTCTTCCGACAGCATCCCTTTCCTCTCCGTGTTGTGTCTAGTGGTCATGTCTCCAGAATCCTTCATCTGGAGCAGTTCCTGGCTCTTCCCCTGCCTCTCCTGTCCTGCCCCCGGCTGGCCCTAAGTTCTGTAAGGTGACCCTCAGCTGCGTCTGGTGTTTCCTGGTGACCAGACTCAGGGCCTGCGTTCTTGGCAGGAAAACCACGCTCCACGTCTGCTCTTCAGCGGCCCCGTCAGGAGGCACAGGGTATTGCCCTGGTCCACCACTTGTTCCTCCACCTTAATTCACCATTTTCCCTCTGCAATCGATTAGGATTTCATGGGGATGTATTGCAGTGTGCACCGACACCCCGCTCCCCATCAAACTACCATCCACTCGCTGACAGCCGCCAAATTAGCCACCTCTACAATTGTTGTCAAGCCGTGTTCTCTACTTCTATCATCCCTCCTGCATTTATTAGCATTCTAGTGCAAGAGAGAGCTTTCCCTTCTCCCACATGTTGGCATGTATCTATATATCTATGCATTTATGTCAGTGTGGACTCACAGATTCCTCACTGGCTTGTAATCCACTCCTAAGGTGACTTAGTTCGGTGCTCAGATCGTCCCTGCTTCAGCCAGTGGGCGCGCCATCAGCTCGGCCCCTGTGTCCTTTCGACATGGCTCCATCACTTGCTGAGTGTCCGGCACTAAAGATGTTTCAGACTCAGCTTGTGCTTCCCCTGCCTTGGAATCAGCCAAAACTCCAAGGACCCCTGTTCCTTTTAGAGGAGGAGAGTGTGTAGAAAGCGAGAGCTGAGGTACTCATTGCTACTGGAGTGTCACTGCCCTCTCATTGGACAGAACTAGAAAGTATAGGTATGCATATATTACATGGAGACCTATGTACCTATGCTATTCCTGTAGCTCTGTGTGTGTGTGTGTGTGTGTGTGTGTGTGTGTGTGTGTGTTATAAAACCATGAGTTCCTACCAGTACCTCCAATTCAGTACCTCAGTATTCATTCTAACTTTTTTTCATGTTATTTTTCCATGTTTCTAAATATCTTGTCCCATGACGCATTCAGCTCCCTTTCTCCTCATTTTCTGTCAGTTCCCTTACTCACTCATCAGTTTTGCTTACGTGGCCAATGCAGCCTACCACACCAGCTCTCCTCAGCCCAGCACCTCTGTCCTCAGACCCCAGGCCCCTCGTGGCCAATGCAGCCGCGACCACACCGGCTCTCCTCAGCCCAGCACCTCTGTCCTCAGCCCCCAGGCCCCTCGTGGCCAATGCAGCCGCGACCGCACCGGCTCTCCTCAGCCCAGCACCTCTATCCTCAGACCCCAGGCCCCTCGTGGCCAATGCAGCCGACCACACCGGCTCTCCTCAGCCCAGCACCTCTGTCCTCAGACCCGAGGCCCCTCGTGGCCAATGCAGCCGACCGCACCGGCTCTCCTCAGCCCAGCACCTCTATCCTCAGACCCCAGGCCCCTCGTGGCCAATGCAGCCGACCACACCGGCTCTCCTCAGCCCAGCACCTCTGTATCCCCAGACCCCAGGCCCCTGTCACTCCCCCAGCCCCTCTGCACCTGAGCCCCACGTCCTCAGGTGCCAGCTCCGCCACACGGGGAAGGAAGGGGGAGCCGGCAGGGGAGCGTGGTTTGGATGAAGTTGACTGTGGGGCATCTAGGAGGCCGTTGGTACACAGGCCGAGGGCCCAGGGCTGGAGGGCAGCATGTGGAGCAGAGAGGGGACGAAAGTCCCTGCAGAGACACTTACAAGAGGGCTGAGGCGAGGGGTCTGCAGGGGACCCTGAGTGGCAGCAGCCAGGAGGGCGCATGAGACCAGGACAGGGTCCTCACAGATGACCACCGCCTGGCTCCTCTGGGATGGGTCTGGGCCCCTCTGTGCCCCCGGAGCCACAGGGGCGAGAGCTGGGCCCTATGTGGAAGGACAGAGCCTGGGCTTGAGGCACCAGCAGACAGACGGCCAGACCGCCTGGCCGCATCTCCCCACCTCTGCCCCCAGCAGTCTCTCCACGTTGCCTCCGCAGTGGCCTGCGGGCCTGGCACCTACTTCAGCGGAGAGCCAGGCCGGTGTGTGCCGTGCACGCTGGGGACCTACCAGGACGGGAACGGCCAGCTCAGCTGCACGCCGTGCCCCAGCAGCGACGGGCTCGGCCTGGCCGGCGCCCGCAACGTATCCGAGTGTGGAGGCGAGTAGGGGCCCTCCCTGCAAAGAGGAGCCGGGGGTGGGGGAACAGGGCACCTCCCGTCTCCACCGAGGTTCCCAAGGCAAAGGCCCGGGTGCCTCGTGGTCTTTTGTAAAGCTCTTTGCCGTTTCCAGAGCCTGTCAGGACTTCCACGCAGCTGCACTTACAAAGTGCGTTGCAGACCCACAGTGCATGTGTCAGAGTGCATGGCAGTGAGCCGGCACTGGGCTGCACTTGGTGCCTTTAAAACTGCACCATGCAGGTTGGAAAGGACTTTACAGTTTACCACTTGCTCATTTACAGGTCAGCTTATAGCGGAGGTACGTAGTGCTTTATAGTTGACCAAACACGTGACACCTCATGGGGCACCCATCCTTGCCGAAATGCTTTGTGGCGTGCGGCCGGATACTTGGGGGAGAACTGTGCTCTACACAGAGAACTTTACAGTTGGCCTGTGGGTGATTTGCAGAGCGCTTTTTCAACTTACCGAGCACAATTTGGTTTGCAAAGAGCTTTTCCATTTACTTACCCCCACTTAACCTCATCTGTGAAATGGGCTTGTAGCCTTCCCCCCATCAGCCTCCCTTCCCGGGCCATTGTGGGGCTCACCCAAGAGAATGGATGGGGAAAGGTGTGCTGGTGAGTGGGACCCTTAGGGTGGCAGAGACCTCCAGCCTTCTCTGGGGGACAGAAGAGATCAGAGCCCAGCCCTGAGTCCCTGCAGGCTGGCCCCTGTCCCCTCCAGGAGTGTGGTCTGTGCCCCAGGGGAGGTAGTACCTGTCAGAGAGCACAGAGAGGCCACTGGGGGAGCAGAGAATTCCAGGGTCGGGGCTGAGAAGGCACTAAACCCATGCCTTGCTCAGCGCCGGAATACCCTCTACATCCTGACATCTTGCTAGAACGTGTTGTCTCCTCCCTTTGTCCTAGCTGTGCCCTAAGGACCTCACAGAACCCCCTCCCTCCACTCAGACCCAGCCAGGCAGATGGACAAGGCAGCATCAGCCTGGAGCTTAAGAGCCCCAGGTCCTCATGTGAAGACGGTGTGGCCCGCCCCCTGGGCAGAGCCCCCTAAATAAATGGCCTCCATGACCTCCCACCTCCACATGTGGTGTCCACACTTCTCAGCTCTGGAGCAAGGCCACTTCTCAGCCCACGACCCTTCTAGCTGGTGGGAGGAGAAAAGCCAGGCCTGACCAAGCCCACACAGTGCACTCCTCCCCCACGACCCCCTGCCTTGGTGCCTTGGTGCCTTTCCCAGGACAGGTGAGGGCTGAGCTGAGCGCCGCGCCTGGACCGAGGCGCCCTGCCCCACAGCCTGAGCCGTGACCTCTGACTTGCAGGCCAGTGCTCTCCAGGCTTCTTCTCCACCGACGGCTTCAGGCCCTGCCAGGCCTGCCCCGTGGGCACGTACCAGCCTGAGCCTGGGCGCACGGGCTGCTTCCCCTGTGGAGGGGGACTGCTCACCAAGCACGAGGGCACAGCCGCCTTCCAAGACTGTGAGGCCAAAGGTGAGGACTCCCCCACCCACCCCTCCGCTCAGGGTCAGTTTCCCTAGATGCCCCTCATTTCCTGCCCTGGCAAACCTCCACGGTCAGAGGAGGAGCCTGGAGCCTCAGGCAGTGGACGCTGGTGACGAGCTCTATGCTGCACACAAGGACAGGGACGGCGGGAGTCCAGCACAGGCCTGCCTGAGGGCTCGGATGAGAGAGCCAGCCAGGCGCTGAGCCTCCAGCCTGGAGCTCTGAGCCCCCAGCCGCCAGCTCCTCAAGACACTGGGGAGGCTTTGAGCGGCACTGGGAGGAAGGTTGGGAGGGGAGGAAGGTGAGGAGGGGCAGTGGGGTGAGGTCAGAGGTCAGAGGTCATCAGGGCTGCCCAGGCCCTGCAGTGCGGCCCCTCCTCCCCTCCACACCACCGAAGCTGCACCGCCGCCCCAGGCTCGACTCTCCACGGAGGGACAGTCCTCCCCACCTGCTGATGGCCCGACATACAGACTCTGAATCTCCCCCAGCTCTCCAGCCCACCTCCCCCGGCTCCTGCCAGGTTTTCCCCCCTTTACCGTTAGCCTCGCAGAAGGAGTGTCTGGACTCCACTTCCTCTCCTCTCATTCTCTCCGAATCCCCACCAGCCAGTCCAACTGTCACCGCACTACACCCGCCCAGCGTTTGCTCCCATCAAGGTGGGCCCACAGGGTCCCTGAGTTGCTGGAGCCCAAGTCAGTTCTGTCCGCGTCTCCCGAGACTGGGACGTGGCCCCCTTGGGGCGCTCTTCCTGCCACTTCTCCGCCTGGGCCCCAGGCCCCGCTCAGTCTCCCCCAGCCCCGCCCCCAAGTGCTGGGCCGTCCCAGGCCCCTTGCACGCGCTGCTCTTGAGTCTGGATAAACTCATCTGCTCGCTTTAGGTAGCATCTCTGCACGGGTGCCGCCAGCTTGTTTCCCATCCAGCCTCTCCCCTGAACTGGACTCTGCCCTCCCGCCAGGCCACAGCTCCACATCGTATCTAACAAGCATCTCAGATTCCACAGGCCCAGGCTCCCCTCCGGTGCACGGCGGCTCTTCCTGCCAGGTGCTCACGGGAGCCTTGGCGTCACTCTAAGTGCTCTTTCCCCCTCACCTCACACCCAGTCTGTCCGCAGCCCCTGCAGCTCTAGCTTCTAAACAGCCCGACTGCGCCTCCCCTGGCGGTCCAGTGGTTAAGACTCCACACTCCCACTGCCGGGGGCACGGGTTCGATCCCTGGTCGGGGAACTAAGATCCTGCATGCCGCGCAGCGCAGCCAAAAATAAAATAAAATAAAAAATAAACAGACACAGAGTGACCCTGACCCAGGCCACCGCCACCCCTCCCCGATGGCCCTGGCCTGACCTGCCTGGGCCTCCGCCCCCCCTCCCCCAGAGCCCACTCCCAGTGCAGCAGCCGGGGACACGGGGCAGCTCCAGGTGGCCTTCCTCTCTCAGAGGAAAGCCCAGCCCTCACCGTGGCCCCTGACCTCTGCTCCGGCCACAGCTGGCACAGACACGGCCCACCTCCGGGCCAGCTCTGCACTCTTCGGGTCTCCACGCAGGTCCCCTCGGTGCCGCCTTCCCTCGCCTCCCTCCACAGCCGGCCCTATGGCATCTCACTTTCCGTTTATTATCCCCAGTGGAGGGACAGACGGGCATTCCACGCAGCCAGAGTACGATGTTGGCCCCGGGGCACAGCTCGGTCTGCCTGGCTCGCTGCTCAGAACCTGTGGTCCACAGCACACCCTGCACTGTTGCAGGCAGGGGCAGGGAGCAGAGGGGTCGGCCACTCAGGGACTGGGCGTGGGTGGTGGAAGGTTTCCGGGCAACGGGGAGGGGCCTTGAACTCTGTGCTGAGTCAGCCCTCAAGGGCAGGGAGCCCCGGGGAGAATGCCGCCTGCCCTTTCCCACCGGTCCCCCCCCCCACCACAGTGCACTGCTCCCCTGGCCACCACTACAATACCACCACCCACCGGTGCATCCGCTGCCCTGTCGGCACCTACCAGCCCGAGTTTGGCCAGAACCACTGCATCACCTGTCCTGGCAACACCAGCACAGACTTCGACGGCTCCACCAACGTCACACACTGCAAAAGTAGGTGCTGCTTTTCCCACGGCCGAGGAGCTGCGGGTGCTGGGAGGGGACTGGGGGCAGGTTGTGAGGGCAGGGTGAGCCCTGACCTCAGGTCGTGTCCGCGGTGACACGGACCGGGAGGCCGGTGACTCCTCCCTGGCCCGTCACATCCGCACATGCGCTCGGTGGGACACTGTGGTGCGGAGGGTGCGGCCGGCTTGGCCGGCCCCCTGCGCTCCACGGAGCGACCTGATCGTGCCGTCGTTGGTCGGTTCCCATGGCTCACCTGAGCCTCAGTGCCGGGCCAGGCCCCACTCCACTCCAGGCTCTGGGTCTGCGGAGGGAAAAGTCAGGGCCCATGCCAAGGAGGCTTGTGGGGCAGCTGCCCGCGCCAGACGCTGCAGCCCTGAAGGCGCAGGATGCTCGGGGTGTACCAAGGGTGCCGGCGGAAGAGGGAGACCAGACGGCCACCCTGTGTCTGTAGGAAGCCCCGTTTCAGCCAAAAGAAACGTGGCAGCGTAAGACAATCTGGGAAATAGGTCATCTCCGAGCCCCTCACCAGCAAGCCATCTGGGCCTAACCCAGAGGGTGCTGTCTTTAGGGATCTCTCATTCACTGTTCAGAGCCCTTTAGGGCATACGTTCTGGTATTTTACCCTTTCCCTAATCACTTTCCAGCCAGTGACTCCTTTCCTGGGCTACTGGTCATGTTTGGAACAGCCTGATGGCCCGTGAAGGAGATTTAATCCTCAACGTGGACGCCATCCCCTCTTCCCCGGGTTGCCCCAGCTGGGCTCGCGGCCTCCTGCGGCAGCTCAGCATAGGCAGGGTTTTAAGTGTTTAAACGTCCTAATGAGGAAAAGTGGGGGGAAAGTGGGAGGGAAGCTTCTGGAATGATAAGGTGAAAATGAAATGTTTCCCAGAAATTTTGATGTGAGGAGATCTTTAAATGAAAATCTGTGAGAAAATTATGTATATTTAGTATTTACACTCAGTTTTCTTTGCATAACTTCCTTTATGCAGTTAACCTAGGAACCGTTTAGCTCATAAAAAAAGTCACGTTTGGCCTCTTTGAGGATGCACGGCTTAGCTAGACTTGCAAAGGTGGGGAAGCATATCTCTTGCTGGTCCCTGAGCCTGCCTGCTCCCTGGGGAGGGCCATACCTGGTTCCTGGCGGGCACTCAGGGGATGTTGAACAAAGGGTTGCACAGACGAGTGAGTGGAGAGAAAGGGGACGTTGGGGCACACTTGGCCTTGGCTGAGACACGGAGGAGAGCATGCGCTGGCGGGGAGCTGGCAGCGGCGGGGGCATGGACGTGCCTGCCGGCGGGGCGAGCAGCTCCAGGCAGGAGGCCAGGACGAGGCCCGGCCGCGGAGGTCCAGGTGAGGCAGCCCAGGAAGGAGGCACCCGGGGCTGGGCCTCCGAGAACCAACACGGAACGAGGACCCGCCCCCCGCTGAGGGGTCCCCGAGGGAAGACCGGCCTGGAGCCTGGCCTGCTGGCGGGGAGGACCGGGTAGAGGGGGGCCAAAGAGGGGGCAGAGCACCTACCAGCCCTGCCCTGGGCCGCCAAGGCTGCTGAGGGCCAGCCGGGCCTGACCAGGGCACGGGCCGTGGTGCCCACAGACCAGCACTGCGGCGGCGAGCTTGGCGACTACACGGGCTACATCGAGTCCCCCAACTACCCTGGCGACTACCCGGCCAATGCCGAGTGCGTGTGGCACATCTCGCCGCCCCCCAAGCGCAGGATCCTCATCGTGGTCCCCGAGATCTTCCTGCCCATCGAGGACGGGTGTGGCGACGTCCTGGTCATGAGGAAGAGCGGTACGTGCCGTCCAGGGGGGAGGCCTCAACCACACGCCCACCCTTCCCCCGCGGCACAGCTCTGCGGGGCACTCACTTCTGACCCCAGGGGCTGGGCTTTCCGGAGCTGTGTGGAAAGGTCCGGAGAGCTTAGGGTGTGTCCTAAGTGTGGGAATCAGGACCTGGTCAGGTGTGGTCTCGATGCTGACCACAAGCCAGTCTCTCCCATTTCTCCCGCATCCTGCCACACCGCCCAGGGTGAGCCTCCAGGAGCACCCCCTGCCCTGCAGGGCCTCTTCCCCACTCTGTGCTTGGAGGGGTGGTGAAGGGCCAGCCTGTGCACTCACACAGGGCGCCGCTCCCCTGCTCTGTGAGCTGCAGCCTCCCAGCTCCCCACCCCCATGGGGCCTCTGGGTGAGACTTTGATCGATGGGCCAGCCCCTTAGCAGTGGGTGGGCACAAGCGCCTGCCCAAATGGCCACGGCAGCGAGAAAGGTGGGGAGCCCTGAGACCCCCCCAGGGACTGGGTAGAACCCCTTATGGCCTGTGCCTCGGCTGGGGACCTTGCTGCTGTGCTAAGGCCGCAGTGCCCCCAGGGAGCAAGCTCCAGGTCAGAATGTTAGGGAAGAAGGAGGGGGACAAGACAGACACAAAAATGTGTCCACCCACCGGGGCCTGGGGTGAGTCTGATACACAGAGACCAGCCAGAGGAGCAGGAGAGTGGGGGGGGACGGGGGAGGGGGAGGGCGTCGTCCACCATGTGCCGCATTGTTACCCGGTGCCTGCACCGCCCACTCAGTGTAGCTGACGAGCAGGAAATGGCCCCCAGTGTGTGAATGGGAGGCCTGGGAGGCCAGGAAGGGCAAGGTACCCGGCCAGCGTCCTACAGCCAGTCAGAGCCCAGCCCAGGACCATCCCCTGCCCATTCCCATCACCAGCCTCCCTAGTCCACATCTTCCCCTCCACTGTCTGTCCACAGAGCTGAGCTCTAGGGAGGCCAGCCTCTCCCACCTCGAGGACACCTCAGGAAAGTTCCCCCAGGGAGCAGTGAGGAAGTGGGGCACCCTTTGGCCAGCCCCAGGCACCCCAGGGGTCAGCAGGCTCACCCTTGTTCATCTGCTCACCGAGAGAGGAGACTGACCCCCCACCCCAGCCCCGGCTCTGTGCTGGGTGCAGGCGTGAGCTCTGTCCTTGAGGAGCAGTTGGCAGGGAGACAGTGACAACCCTATAGAGAAGGGCTGCTGTAGTACAGTGTTCACAGAGCAGAGAGGAGACAGAGTAGGGTGGGGGTGGAGCAGTCAGGGAGGCTTCCTGGAGGAGGAGGCACAGAAACTTGTCTCCGAGGGACAAGTAGTAACTGGGGCTGAGGGTCGGGAAGGGCGTTTGGGGCCGAGGGAACAAGTGCGGGGACTGGAGAGCTGGAGTGTTTGGGGGACTGGGTGCTGTGGGTGCTGGATGGCTGACTGAGTGGGGAGGCCACAGGCCTGGGGCAGGAGGTCAGGGACCCGGTAAGGAGCTGTGGATCTGGGGCAGCTCAACCATGACGTGCCTCCGCCCCCTGCCCCACCCCCAGCCTCACCCACCTCTATCACCACCTATGAGACCTGCCAGACCTACGAGAGGCCCATCGCCTTCACCTCCCGCTCCAGGAAGCTCTGGATCCAGTTCAAATCCAATGAAGGCAACAGCGGCAAAGGGTTCCAAGTACCTTATGTCACCTACGACGGTGAGTGTGGCCCCACTGCACACCCAGGCTGGCCCTGGGGACACAGAAACAAATCACGCCTCCCCGTCCTCAGGGAGCTCCAGCCTTGGGGGACTGTGGGGTCCAGACAGGCCCATAAGGGGGACAGGGTGGTACAGATGAGGGACCTATTAGTGGTGTCTGTGGGCCCCAGAGGGAGGTGCTACCCGAGCAGGGTTTTGAGGGTTGTATAGGGGTTTTCTAGCTAGTCAAACCTGGAGGAGACCAGTGTGGGTGGAGGAGACAAAGGCACGCAGTCTGAAGCCCTGGGGGAGGGCCGAGGCTGACGGTAGCAAGAGGCAGGAGGGACTTTCGCCTTCAGCCTCTACCCTCACCTTCCTCCCTTCCCCACCGGTGGCCTTCGCAGAGGACTACCAGAAGTTAATAGAAGATATCGTCCGCGACGGACGGCTCTACGCCTCGGAGAATCACCAGGAAATTTTGAAAGTGAGTGAGCTTCCCTATGGGAAGGGATCGTATAACCCTGGGATGGTGGCCTGTGATGATCCAGGGCCATCCCTGCCCCCAGCCCCGACCCCAGCCCTGCACAGAAGTGAGGAGAGGAGAGCGATAACAGGAGAAGAGAAGGTGATGGGAGCAGGTGGCCAGGGGCAGGGCTGGTCCAGTGCATGTGTCCTTCTAGGCCAGGACCTGCTGACGTGCCCGTGGGCAGGTTCCTTATGAGATCTTGGCCTCACTTTCCTCATCTGTGAAATGGGGAGAGCTCGACAGCGTGGTCTCTTAAAATCAGGAGACTCCTCCGCTGCCTTTGGGACTCACTCCCTCCTCATCCCGCCCACGTCCTGAGAAGTAGAGCCACCTAGTCATCCGGGGGCTGTGGCCGTCACACGCGGGCAGAGGCCGGGTCAGGGCCCAGGTTGTCACCGTGAGGAGCCAGACTCAGGGATCTGCTTGGGCTCTGGGGATCGGGCCCCGGCCCAGCCCTGGGCAGACAGCACCCCCAGCCTGGGAGCCGAGGGTGGCGTGGAGGGTAAGAGCGGGGCCGGCCAGTCCCTCGCTAACTTCTGCTCCAGCTGCCACCTCCCAGCTGGGTGTCTGAGGCAAGCTGTCTGAGCCCCGCCTCGTGTCTGAGAAACCGGGATGGCTCACAGTCTCCGAGCCCAAGCCTGGAGCACTCCTGCACACAGTAGGCAGTTTGTAAGCCAAGAGGTTTGCCCCCTGCTGCCCTACCCGGATGATACCTGGGGATCTCGGGGCACGAAGCCCCTCGTCGCCCTCCTCAGGTACCTGTCTGTTTAGTGGGAACCAGAGGGTCGTCCTGGCCTCTCCGACTCTGTCCTGTTGACAGTGCCTGACTCTCTCGTCCTCGCCCCGGCCCTCTGTCCTCAGCTCCACCCTGAAGCTGGGAGCATCTTTTCAGAGCTAGAAGTGTTCCCATCTCTTAGGACCAAGCCTTGGCCAGCGAGGCCCAGCCTGGCACAGCTACCACCTGCCTCCACGGCGGCTCTCAGGCCTCCACTCCCCACCTCACTGGCCACGGCCTCCCAGGAACGCTCGCCCCATCCTCTCCTCAGTGGACGTCCTCCCGTCCCTGCTGCTTTCAGCCCAGGCGTCCCATCCTCTGGGCCTCCCTAGCCAGGTTGCGCTCTGAGGGCCCCAGGTGGCCCCCCTTCTTGGCCGTCAGGCCTGCAGTTTAGGTTTGTCCTGTGATTATTTGGCCCCCGTCCCCCCCCATGGGGAAGGAACCACAGGGCTTCCCCCTCAGCACTCTCCCTGGCACCTGGCACAGCGCCCAGCACATGGGAGGAACTCCACCAGTGTCTCCAAGGGCATGGGTGCGTGTGTACACATGGGAGAGGGAGTGCGTGTGTGTGTGTGTGTGCGTGCACGTGTGCGTGCGTGTGCCTGCTCACACATGCCGGGACGAGTCACACCCCAAGACGGCCGCTTGAGACGATGAGCTCGTGGGGCAGGAAGCACGCGGTGCGGTGGCTGCCGGTCACTGGAGGTTCTCCTCCAGGGCGGCATCGCCCCACTTTACAGATGATGGCCCTGGGCTCTGAGAGGGTGCCCAGCTGGTGAGTGACGGCGCCTGAGTGTGGGCCGCCTGGACCCTCGCGGCACCCCTGGGCCAGGCTCTTGGCTCTCAGGACTGCACTTCCTCTTCCGCCCAGCCCTAAGAGGAGGGATCATCACCCCGTCATTCAGATGAATAATTCAAGTTCAGAGCAGCAGGGCCATTTTCCCAGGGCTAAGGCACTAGGGAGGAGATGGTGCAGCTGCGGTTTCCAGTCCGGCCTATTGGCCTCCAAAGCCTTGCTGTCTACTCCGTGTGCTCTGTTTTCAACTTGGGGGGTTTGGCTGTTGTGTTTTTGCAGCGCACCCTTTTAAGATAAAATGTGACTGGAACTCCAAGAGTTAAAACGAATAGACTATTAAAAAACCAATTAGGCTATTAAAACCGAAAAAGTATTCGTGGCAAAGCGTCTGTAGGGTCCTAAAACACACCAGCCAGCCCAGCCTCTTCCCCCTTCCCCCATCCCTGCAGACACCCTCAGGCCCCTCCAGGGCGCCGGGCATGGCAGAGGCGAGCGGCCAGGGCCCTCCAGCCTGGCCCCAGGCCCCTCACCCTGGCCTCACATGTCTCGCAGGACAAGAAGCTGATCAAGGCCCTCTTCGACGTGTTGGCGCATCCCCAGAACTACTTCAAGTACACAGCCCAGGAGTCCAAGGAGATGTTCCCACGGTCCTTCATCAAACTGCTACGTTCCAAGGTGTCCCGGTTCCTGCGACCCTACAAGTAACACTGGTGCGGCCGCCCTGCGTGGGGTGCTGGCTACCCGGGGAGGAGAGAGCTCCTCCCCTGCACAGTCGAAGCTACAGGCGGCTCCGTGGGCCTACACTCTGCCTTGGGAATCACCGTGGCGTCTGCCCTTCAGGAATCGCTGGCCAGCCCGTGGCAGGCGAGACCACATATGCAGGCAGAGACCCCAGCCCGGCTGCGCTCCTCTGATGCCGCCCCCGTGGGAAAACGTTGCTTGAGGCAGCCTTTCTTGCTCCTTCCAGGACACCAATAGCGCCCTCTCCTGAGCTGGCACCAGCGGACGCCACCCGGACCCAGGACGCTCGGCCACCACCCAGGCGGGTCCCGGGCAGAGCTGACCTTTGGAGGTTGCACGTGCCCTTTGCCCGGTGCTTCAGGGGAGAGAGGGGCATGGCTGCCATGTCTCAGGGGGGCTCTCAGAGGCAGAATCCAAGACAGGAGTCCAGGCCGTGGAAGCAGGGGTGGTGAAGGCTCATCTGGGGGCTGTGATAAGCCAGTGTCGATGCCGGCAGGGCGCCCACACCCGCCAGCTCCTCTGGCCGTGGGCCCAGGACACGGGCGAGTGCGGTTGGGCTCTCAGAATTCTGTGATGGGACAGAAAAGAGGTGCTGGGAGAGGAAGCTGTAGATTTCTGCTTTCCCGTGATAGAGCATCTAATTAAGTACTGTGTGTATATGAATATAAAGGTAAAGATAAACATACTTCTATTTGCGGGTACTTTAGCAGCTGTAAATATTACCCTCCACCCCGCCTTCTCCCCGCTGTCGCTGGCTTCCCTGACTGATTAAACTGCTCCCCCAAGCACTTGCCACGTCTGTTTACAAAGGCCAGGAGCCTCCAAGACCGGGGGCGAGGCAGGTCGGCCCTGGACACGCGGTGGAGTACAAACGCTTGGGGGACTGGGCTCCACGCCCTGCCAGCATGTTGCCCTCCAGTGGAAAGCAGTGGAAAGCAGTGTCCCTTCGGACCCCTTCCTGGGGTCACAGGGCCCAGTGGTAAACTTTAGAAGGGGCCTGTGTCTGACCCGAGGCCATGACCGTGGAGTTCAAGCTGAGGACGCTTGCCACCGGAAGGCAAGGCTTTGCCCCTGTGAGCACAGGCTGTGCTGAGCACCGGGGCCCAGGGAGGAAAACGGGTCCCGGGACGGGGGGGCCGCCCCCAGGCAGAGGCGGGCCGGCTGTCGGAGGCCCGGCTTCCAGTGCAGTCTTCTTTCTGCTGCACCCTGTGGCCTCCCTCTCAGGGTCGCTCTGTAAAGAAGCAAAGTCTGGAGTGTGACCGGGCTGCACCGTGTCCCACTCAGCCAGGAGCCAGGGCCTGGGATGGAGCTAGCGAGGACCTCCGACAGGCCGCGGCCTCGCCCACTGCCACGCCGCTGCTGCCACCAGCCGCGGGACACGCAGATGCTCTGTGGCTTTAGGGTTAACAGACATTTAGAATCCCAAGGAACACGGGCGAATCCTCACACGAACTCCCGTCACCCATTCTGGTCGCCTCTAGGTGGTTTCCTCCTCGCCCCAGACCCACGCGTGCCGCTAGGGATGAGCACGCCCTTTGAGAACGGCTGTGGCGCTGAGGGCATGAGGCCTGGAGGTCCCGGGCTGGGTGGTGAACAGGTCAGGGTGGATTTTACAGTCCACAGCGGGGCTCGGCGCTCAGGAGCTCCTCACCGCCGCTACCTGCGTCCTCAGCGGCGGGTCCCCAGCTTGACTAATGCTGCCGTCATCACCTTCTCTTCCAAAATCCAACTCAAGTGGGGAGGGCACTGCACTTGGTCGGTAGCTCAGTGTCAGCTGGGGAGCCCCGTCCAGGCCACGCTGCCCCTCCCCTGGTCACAGTCCTTGAAGGCCAGTCACAGTTTCCAGAAAGAGGCCTGTCCTCCGCATCAAGCCCCTGGTCCTCCCCAGAAATTAGGTGTGTCCTCCAGAATCAGCCCCCAGCAATAGCTACCCAGAGGAGGGCACTGGGAAGGGTTTTTGGTTTTGGGGGTGGTTTTTAATGCTCTCAAAAAGGACTTTTTTGATCCAGAGGGGACCAGAAAGAGCTCTCATCTCTCTTGAACACTTTCTGCTGCTCCTTTGGGTGGTTTCCAGCAGTTGCCACCCACATACCCACTAACCTACCCACCCTTTCGGTGGCTCCACCCCGATCCACGGCTCTCGCCACCACTGTGGTCAGACCGTGCCCCGTGTCTCCCGGGCAGAGCAGGACGGGGCAGTGCAGATGTGGGCCCCGCACCGTCTCGAGTGCCAGGGAGCCCACAATCCAAATTCGCCAGCCGCCCACTGTCACCATCCGGCCCTCCCTCCCCAGTAAAACCACCTGCCGCGCCATCAGGGGACTCAGAGTCCAGGGGTGGGGTCTTTCCTGAACCTCGTCAGCCCTCAGCCCCATGCTGGGAACCCTGGGGGTCCCACTTATTAAACGCAGAGCTGTCGCCACTCCTTGGGGCCTGGTGGTCCCAGGAGATCTACCCGGGGAACAAAGCTTGTTTCTTCGTGTTTCCGTGTCGTGGACGCAGGTGGTAGATTGGCTGACACAAGGTGGCTATTCCACCTGGCTCCAGGTGGAGGTGGAGAGAAAAGGGAAGGCGGACAAGGACTGGCCCAGGTAGGGCCGTTATGCGGTGAGTCCTGAGGAAGGACAGAAGCCGAGACAGGAGTGCAGAAGGCCTGAGCTGCCAGGGGCTGAGCCAGAAGGAGCACATCCCACTCCTGGATGGGACGTTGGCCTTGAGCAGCCACAGACCCATCCCAGCCAGGGCCTGCCTGGCACGGACCCTCAGGGGCTAGCCAGTCGATAAACTCCAAGGAAAGGAGCTAAGCAACACATTTCTGGAAGCAAAAGCCTGCCCGCTGGCCAGGGCTGAAAGCAGGTGCCAAGGCCTGGCGACTCTGATGAGCTTGGTTCTGGCCCAGCAGAGCATCAGGCTGGGGCGACCGGAGCAGCTCTGCAGGGATGGCAGTGGAGACTGAGGGACCTCTGCCCCGTGGGCTGGGCACTTCCTGGCACACTTTGCTTCCATGGAAACGCGCCCAGGAAAGGGAAGGAGTCCGCTCAGGTCTAGTGGCCAAGCCCTCAGCGAGGGAGCGTTGAAGTCGTCTCATCTGCTTCCCCGAACGAGGCTCCTTTTCCCCGATTGTGCCTTGCAGCTGCTGCGCAGTGCTGGCCCCCCTCCTCCCCCGGGGCTCTCCGTTTAGGGTCAGACAGCAGGTCGCACCTGCCAGGGGTGGTGGCCTCTTTCCTCAGTCTCTCCCAGCTCTTCGCCTCTGTGGTGACAGGCTGGAGGAGGCCGTGGGGCCCGAGGTGGTGGCCTCGGGCAGCTTTCCCTCCTGCCACCCATGGGTTTGGGACATGCAGATAGAGTAGAACTGAGACCCCAGGCCAAGAAGTTTCCAGAGAGCGATGGCCCACGGAGACCCTCTTCCCCACACCTCTTACAAACCCACCTCTCCTACCTGAACCCTCGTTCTCCCAGAAGAACAGCCAAGGTCACCCCTCTTCCATGACAAGAGCCCCCCCCCCCCCCGCCTGCTGGAGCTGGAGCAGGGGCCTAAGTGACATTTCAGGGGCTGAATAAGACTTCCAGCACCTCCGCCGCCCCAGCTGAAAACTAAGAGACTGAACTAAGTTGGGTCATTTAGCAAATGTTTGCTGAGCACCTACTGTGTGCTAGGCTCCTAGAAAGGCAGAGAGACCATAGCCCAGGGGCTGACAGGATGCCCTGAAAAGCCCTCTGGTCACAGAGATAAAGGTGATGGAGGCCTGGGTGGCAAAGCCCAGCGCTCCCGTCAGAAGGCCATCCCTCCCTCCCACGCCTCCCAGGACCCCGGTTGGGGTGCAGGGCACCTGCAGGAGGGGCAGAGCAGAGCCTGGTCACCAAGCTACACTTCAAGAAAGACACCTCGAAGGAGAAGCTGCAGCCAGCCGGGCGGAGACAGAAGCACACAAGCCAAGACTGCGGACCCCGGGAGCCCAGCCAACACGCCCAGGACACCGGTCTCCGCCCTGACGCCTCGCCCGCTGCCAGCACCCGGCACGGTCAGTGCTCCAGAAGGGGGGCTCCTTTCTCGTCACCCAGGGACCGTGGCTGCTTTTGCCTCCTCTACTGCATGCTTGGGGGGTTTGTCAGCCTGGCAAACTGCATCTTATACCAAGGACCCCTTTCCTCACCAGAGATACACACGGTAGCAGCTCAGCCCTTCGGACAAGGGCAACAGCGCCGAGCCGACGTCATTCAGGCCAAAGGCAGAGGGACTCGATGTCTGGGACACTGCCCGTCGCGCAGGCGGAGGCGGAGCAAGTAGCTGCTGCTCTCCCAGGGCTGCCCCTTCCCCTCAGCACCCGCACATCCCCTGCAGCAGTGCGCCCTGAGCACTCGCTGTGCGCCAGCCACAGGGCCGGCCCCCTGGCTCCATGGAGACGGCACCAGCGGGGGCCCAGGCGACGTGGGCGTGGCCGCACACCCCCTCCTAGCAGCCTGCACGGATGGCCCCCGAGAGCAGGACCCTTTGTTCCCCTGAGGCCTCCCAGCCCCTGGATGGAGTCTCTGAAATTGTCAGTCCCCCCAAGTCTCAACAGGAAGCAATGAAGGACCAGAGTCGCCTCCCTCCACCCACCCGCCCCCCTCCAAACCCCCCGGGGCTCAGCCCCATAACATGTGCATGTGCTCAGTGCTCTCCAGGCTGGGAGGCCCAGCGACAGACCCAAGGCGAATTGTTAGGAACTCATGGAATTGGGAATCAAACCCAAGCCCCTCTAATCCCAAAGTAGGAAATGTCCCCCTGTGAAATGCTGATCACTGAATGTTACAGATTGGGAAACTCAGCAGGGCAGCCTGGCAGTGGAGGGCCCGGGGTGGGGGGACATGAAGGAGAGGGCAAGAGGGAGGAGGGGGTGTGGACCTAGTGACCTCCCCCCTCTGGAACAAGTGCTAAAAGCTCATTCAGAGAAAGACGGCCTTCTGCCTTCTCCCCAGGTGGACAGGTCACTTCCATTCAAACTGAGCCTGCCCGGTACGCCGGCCATGGCTCGGCGCTCACCCTGGGGGGCTCTGGGTGCCTTGAGCCGAGGCCGGCGCACAGCCCTGCAAGATGCCAAGTGCCCCTCCCCTACCTGCCGTTCTGCCAGCTCGTCAGCGGACAGGTGTGGGGAAAAGTAGGGGAAAAAGGAAAGCTAGCTGATGCCAAGTATTTTGTATTTCAGTCCAGAGGCCATGTAGATCTGCAGGGAAACTTCTTATTCCGCTGAGCTCAAAACCTTAAACAGTCTGAGTGAGCAGACCCAGCCCATGTGGCTCCTGAAACAGGCTGTCTGAACACCACTGGGGGCGGTGCAGGGCTGGGTGGGGGACCGCAGCGCTGACCCTCGTCCTCGCAGCCTTCAGTTTGGGCTTCTGTGAAGGCGCTGGCGGTACTGTACAGGCGCTTTGGCGATCTCTCTGCCTGCAAGGATGACAAATATCAATGTAACCACATTTCTATTTTAGTTGCCTCAAATATTCAAAGTTTTGTTTTCTCCGTCATGTTCATACATATGCATGTAATTAAACATTTGTGAAAAATCACTTTAATAATAAACAGGAAATGAACTTAAATACTTCCCCTTCCTCTCATTCATCAGTGGTTAGGACAGAGGCGGTAGGGGGCGCGGAGGCCGGTGGAAAAGGTAACTGGAATCAGACCGTTTTTTCAGAAATTCCCTGGCTGTATTGAAGACTGAAAGTAAAGGAGCTACACAAAGCTTCCGGCACACAAAGCAGCAGTTTGAGACGTGCGTGTGGAGGACACCCAAAGTTAGGAAACGCGCTCCTGAATGAGCCCCCAGAAAGTGAAACTTCCGTGTCTCAAATCCCATTTCTCCTCATGACCGTCATCATGAAAGGAGAGATGTTCCTTTACACAGGTCACGGTCAGTGAGCACCGGGGCATCTGGGACCCCTGAAATTAGATGCACGATCAGTGTTCCGTGTGTGTGCGCGTGCGCGAGCCTGTGAGCACACACGCATGCGTTTCTCTGGGAATGTGGCCCATGGCTTTCATCAGATTCTCAAAGAAATCTAGAACCACAAAAAGGCTAATAGCCACTGTTCTCAGTAATGTGGAGACCCTCTGGTACCATGCACTCGACAGGAGAAAGAACAATTTTATAAATGACATTAATATCCCAAATTACACAATAAACACCAGATTTTTTTCTTGGTTTAATGAAGTGATTTAAAAGCCTAAGGAAACTTCTGGGAATGTACCCAAAAGAACTGAAAGCAGTCTCAAAGAGATATTTGTACACCCGTGTCCATAGGGGCATTATTCACGATAGTCAAAAAGTAGAAACGGGGCTTCCCTGGTGGCGCAGTGGTTGAGAGTCCGCCTGCCGATGCAAGGGACACAGGTTCGTGCCCTGGTCCGGGAAGATCCCACATGCCGCGGAGCGGCTGGGCCCGTGAGCCATGGCCGCTGAGCCTGCGCGTCTGGAACCTGTGCTCCGCAACGAGAGAGGCCACAACGGCGAGAGGCCCGCGTACCGCAAAAAAAGTAGAAACGACCCAAGTGTCCATCGATGGATGAAGAGATAAATAAAACAGCGTCTATCCATACGATGGAATATGATTCAGCCTTAAAAAGGAGTGAAGTTCTGACACGTGCTACAACATGGATGAACTTTAAAGACATTATGCTGAGGGAAATACGCCAGTCACAAAAGGACAAACACCGTGTGATTCCACTTATATGAGTCCCTGGAGGAGTCAAATCCACAGAGACAGAAAGTAGAATGGGGGTCGCCAGGGGCTGGGGAGGAAGGAGAAACAGGGAGTTGGTGTCTAATGGGTACAGCGTTTCAGTCTGGGAAGATGAAATGGCTGGAGGTGATGGTTACACGAGAATGTGAATGTAGTTAATGCCACTTTATATATATATATATATTTTTTTTTTTTTTTTTTTTTTTTTTTTAGCG